AGAAGGGAGAACAATAATCTCCTCCTCCTCCTCCTCCTCCTCCTCCTCCTCCTCCTCCTCCTCTTCGTCTTCTCATTATTGTTGTTATTCCTCCTCCTCCTCCTCCTCCTCCTCCTCCTCCCACTCTCCTCGTTCACCTCCCCTCTGTGATCCTTCCCTTCCTCCTCCCTGTCCTCCTCATTATCCTCCTCCTCCGTCTTCTTCCCACCTCCTCATTCGTCTTCCGTCCTCCTCTCCCTCCTCCTCCTCCTCCTCCTCCTTCTCCTCCTCTCCCCTCTCGGGGGGCCGGGGGGGAACCACCCCCGCTCCGTCTGCCAGGACCCCGGGGTGGATGGCGACGGGGGGGGGCAGGAAGACAATAAAGGGGAGCAGCAGGAGGGAGGAGAGAAGACAGGGGAGGATGCTGAGGGAATGTGAGAGGGGGGGAAGTGCAGGCGGGAAGAGGATGATAAGGGGAGGTGACAGACTATTAAAGATGAGAGAAAAGCAAACCTGTATAACAAGGAGGAGCGACAAGAGGTGGCGGAAGGTATGGGGGAGGAGTGAGCAGGATGAAGGGGAGCGGGAGGAGGAGGAGGATGAAGCGACCGCGGCGGAGGCAACGGAGGCCGCGCCGCCGTTGACAAAAAAACAAGCCCCCCATGGGTTCGCAATTCGTGCGAGGGCTTTGTTTTGCAAGAGCCCCCCCTTATTCGCGGTAAAGACTGCGAAAAATGTGGGAGATGACATGTTAAAGAAATGCCCCCAAACAACTCTCTTTGAGCACGAACCACGGTCCATCCGTGTTCTATCTTCCATCTCTGGCCATGCAAACAATGTGGGGCGACTCTCCCACTTTGGCAAAGAGCCGCCCCACATCCGTGTAATTAGCTCTTGCGCAAATTCATACTTGTCGTGATATGTGTTGGGGAAGCCGGAGGCGAGAGTTCGAAACCATTACGCGCGGCACTAAACTGGACTCGGACTCGGACTCGGACTCGGCTCCGCGCGTGTGGCGCCATGAAGGCGCGGCGGAAAGGCGCCGAAGCGCCTGCATGGAAGAAATCGGCAAGACCGTCACATGTGAAAATGTTGCGAGAGAGGCGTCAGAGGAAGAGGAGGAGTCCTCCTTCGAGGGTCTGCCAGGAGTGCGGGAGGCCCTGGCCCTCCCGGGGGCGCCAGAGAAGCTGCGCTGGCTGGGAGGGGGCGCCACTCTCAGCTGGATCGGGGCCCTGGGCTGGACGGCGCGCGAGTACGTCGTAGCGGACGCGGCCCCATATTTGGAGACGCTCCGCGCAGCCCTGGGTGTCCTGTGGGAGAGCGAGGGCGAGATCATCGCAGTATTGGAACTGCTGTGCTTGATAGCCCTCGCGGCGGAGAAGGGATGGGACTGGTTCCAACTCCGTCTCCCGTACGTCACCGACTACAGCAATGTTGGCCGCTGGCTCTGGCGGCGCCGAGCGCGCAACGCGGTGGCGCGGCACTTGCTGCGCATCCTGGCCATGCTCGAGCTCCGATACAAGTTCAGGATACTGGACGGACTCTACCTGCGGACCTACCAGAACGACTTGGCGGACTTCGCGACGCGGGCCCCCCTCCCGGAGGTCAGGCAGTGGATCAGGATGAGGGAGGAGGGATGGTCAGAGATCAATCCGACAGCCCCCTGGGGCGCGTTGGTCGAGGAGGCCGCCCAGCGCGAGCTCCGCATGCCCGGGGATTCATGTCCCTGGCGGGCGGCAGCGCTCCAGGTCAAGGGGGCTCAAAGGACGCTCCCGCGCTAACTATGCCCTGCTGCAGGTCGAAGGGGCATGCTTGGTGCAGGTTGGCACTGCCTGGGCGCCCTTCGGAGACGCCTGGGAGGGACCGGGTAGCACCGGACGGTGCGCCCCCTGGGACTGGGGCCCGACGGCCTTATAACGGCTCCGCCCGCTGGGGGCTCCGGCGCTGAGCCCGACATGCGCCGGGAAGGGGCCCGCTGGCTGCGCGTCTCCTTCTCGGGTAGAAGGCGAAAAATCCACCCCCATAATAACCACCCCGACACGCGAAGCCGCTTACCAAACGCCCCCACTGAAAGAATCGAACAGGGAAGGGCTGCTTAGTAAACGCCCAGGGCCGTTTAGTAGACGCCAATTGTCCGGTCCGGGTGGTTTTCCCTCCCTTGACAAGGAGGAGCTGGGACTCGCGGACCTCGGGCCTGACGGCGAGGGGCACCCGAAGGACGCAGCCGGGCGGGAGGAGGACGGCTTCACCGATCAGAGGATCCCGGCGATGTACCGGCGATGCGCCGTCGACGTCGGCGATGCATCGGCGACGCATCGGCGTTGCGGCGCGATCTTCCGACACCATCTACTCCGACCCCACTCAGGAGGCCTAGAATGATGGACCAGGCGCAGGGCGGCCACCTGGCTGGCGCTGCCCACCCCGGCCAGCTGCTCTGGACTGCCTCGCTGCGTCGACGGCGCCAGGCTGGCCGCCTCGGTGGCCCAGGCCGCCCTCCGCGCCGCCCGGGAGCACGGGGCTGCGGAGCTCCGACGGCTCCGGTCTGCGAATTTTAATGAGCTGCAGCCTCAGGCTGCCTGGCTCCTGCGCGCCCAGCAACTCCGCGTCGCTGTCGCGACTCGGCTGGCCACGCCCAGCCGCCGTCGCGGCGCCCGTGCCGCCCAGCCTTGCGGGGGCCGGCTAGGCATCCGCCTCGCTGGGAAGGGGCCGGATCGCCCGCGGCTCGTGCCGCGTTTCATCGTTCGTCGCAGTCGCCGCCGAAGAGCGCCGCGTCCTCGTCATCCGTGACGCGCGGCACAAAGCGCGCAGCGTCCGGACAGCTCGTCGCGCAGGCTGGACGCCGATGGCACCCTGGGCTCTTCGAAACAGCTGGTCGCAGCGCAGCTCGCGGCGCGGGGCCGCTTGCGCCGCCATCGCGGACTCCAGCATCACGCTGGTCTCCGGGCGCTCGCGGCCCCATGATGACCAGACCATGGGCCGATGCGCGATATTTTGTGCCCACAGCTTGGCCTCGACGTTGGTCGTCCCCGTGCTTCCTGTGGTACATGTATAAAGTGGCGCTCGAACCCGTCGGCCTCATGGCCCGAACCAGAAGGAACCTTCAACTTCCCCCCTCAGAGAGCTCGGACTTTCCATGACGGAGCGACGACCGACTCGAGCATGAGGGGTGGGGACTTGAGTGAGTTAGGACGCAGTCTCTCCGACGCCTGTTCCTCAGTGTGGCTAGTCCAGGGTGAACATTTCCATTTTCAGATCGCGGCCCGACACGTCCCAGGACGTAGACGTTTCTGCACGCCGGCACCTGACCCAGTGCCAAACACAGCTGGAGTCTGCTGTGCAGGCCCTGCACTGCAGCCTGTACAATCTCACCCTTCCGAACAGGAAAAACGTCTGGAGCCGACAGCAGTCGTTCCCAGCAGCAGAGCTCGACTCCGCCGCAGGAGCCGCGCCGTGTTCAACCTCAGGGTGAACTCAAGAGGGCGGGCGATGCGAGTCTGGAGCCTTGCTCTAACCTCCCACTCTGTGGCTACCTCGGGCTAGCTAAAACGACGTCGGCCGTGCCGCTGGCTCCGTCTGAGTCCTTAAATTCGGGCTGGTGGAGCCGCTCGTGACGCCTGCCCTGCTTTGGAGCCACGTCCTGGGCCCGCCGCTCCGAAAGCGAAACCGCAAGTTCCTGGGAGGGGTGAGCGAGGCCCCTATCGGCGATGAGTGTGCGATCGGGGGTCGATTCTCCCCCCCAATGAGCGCATCCCCCCAACCCTTGCCCCCGGGTAGCCCAGAAGGCTGGTGGCGTGGCAGTGGCTGGCGCGTGCGACGGCGGCGCATCGGCCACGAAGGTACGGCCACGTTTCGGCCCTCCGTCGACGCCAGTCTTGCGATCGAAGCTGCTGCGAAGGACAGCAGTCTAATTTCGCCCGAGCGACGCTCCAGTGAGTGATGCCCAGGCAACGGCTGGGGAATATTCTCGTAGAAGAGCCAGGTTCTCTGAGTCGACTTGAAGAAGGGAAGGAAACTCACCAAGATCATCAAGGATCGCCACATGACACCTGATCACCAACGGAGTATTCGCAGCGTTCTGGTGAGGGGAATCAGGATCACCAAATGCTGCAAAATAGCTGCATTCGCCAGGAGCAATAAACTGTTGGTCTCCACCCGGCTCGGCGATTCTGTCAGGCACCAAGCGATGCCGACAATTGCCACATCCTTGCGTTCTCTGCACAATGGAGCTGGGTGTCCGGCCCTGCCGCGTTCCCACCATACCCGTGCTCGGGAAGAACATCCGTGCACGAAGCGAACCATGCAGTAACGGGGCAACTCCCTGTCATGGCAGCAGAGTCCTTGGTACTACTCAACGGCTTGACCGAGTCGACGGACGCCGTATACCCGCCCACTCCTCTCCTCGCTCTCCTTCTGCCCGGGAGGCGGAGTCGGAGTCTCACCTGCACCCTTGGGCAGTGTGGTCTAAGGCGCCTCCTCGTTCAACCTCCCGCTTCCTCTTCGGGGAGGGGATCGCTCCAGCATGGGCGGGCGGGGATGCGCGAGGCGTCGAAAGAACCCCCGCCCGTGGGCGGGCAACGGCCCGCGGCTCTGCGCTGGCCTCGCGTCCCGTGGCTTCTCCGTGGCGACTGGGGGCCCAACGCTTCGGGAAAAAACGGCACCGTGGGAGGGCTGGACCCCCCACCTCTTCCGACGTCCCCTCCTCCGTCCCCAGCTCATCTTCGTTCCCCTGGTTCTCCTCCACCGTCCTGCGCCTCCTCCTTCTCCCTTGCCGCCGCTGCGGATGTCCTGGCCAGATTCCGCGCTCCTGGAAGAAATGGAGGTTGCCCCGAACGGCCGTGGTCACAGCACGGCACGGCTTCGCCAACTCGCACACAGTGCCATCATCGTGGGGCTGGGGGGGGAGACACAACACCACAGGAAGCAGGAGGAGACGCAGGGGCATGAGGGGAGATCATGAATCCTAAAACTGATGAAGGAAGGACAGGGGTGTGGAGATAGCCACGCGACCTTTTGCGGATGTCGATCGCCTCGATCTCCCTGTTGAGCTGATTGACATACGTCAGCAAGCTGAAATTGCGCTGCTCCAGATCGACGAAGATCCGGACGATCTCGTCTATCTCGTGGATCTGGGTGCTGGACTTGATGGTTGCGAAAGCCTGCTGGGTATTCAATAACGTGTTGAAACCCACTGGTGCCAATTAGGATTGTTTTAGGGCGGAGAATGCACGAGCCATGTTCGAATAGCTTCGTGGGGAAGATGGTAACGATGAGAATAATGAAATACATGACGAACACAATGTGGTGGAGGACATTCAAGGAAGGATGAGGAAGGCATGGAAGAGGTGTAGAGGGAGGAAGATGAAGGGAAATATGATGTAGCGGTAAGGGAGAGGACGGGATGATGAAGATCGTGCCAAATCCAACGTCAGAAGTTAACTGCATAGAAATCGGTTTGGCACAGGAGCCGAAGCGGCGGGCAACTTCAAAGTCTGGAATAGTCTGGATCAGTTGTGCCATCGTCACGTGGATGGCGACCGCCCACTGGAGAATCAACGTGTCTTGTCCTGCATCTGTCCTTCAACAAGTACGAAGTGGAAAAGAAACAGACCAGTGTCACACATCATATGGTGTACATCCCTACCGCTATCCAGCCCCAAACTGCGCCTCTCCTACCTGGGGAGGTGCGACTGGCGGGATTGTGCTCCTAGAGCAATCGCCGCCTTCTTCACGAAGACCCTGGGGGTCACGGCCGAGTGACGCCCGTGAGGCGGCCTGGCTTGCACTTTTAAACTCTGCAGCGCGGAACTTCATCTCATCGTCGGCCAGGCCGACGTCGATGGCGTCAGCGAGTGCGCCGTTCTCATTTCATGTGTTACCGCCGTGCATTGTCAAAGGTACACTACATGACGGTGGGTACTGTGAGTACCTAGGGCTAGGCTTGACATCGTCTCGACTCCAACAATGTCGATAAAGCCGAGTCGATTATGTCATTTGCACGCCAACATAAACTTGATGTCCTGTCTCCTACTGACTTGCACATGGTGGAGGAGGTTGGGGGAGAACTACCTGATACGAGGAGGGTCAGTCTGGCGGTGGAAGAGTACGTGGTGGTCGTTCGGGGAGGTGTGGGGGTTCTCTAATCTCCAGCTGCGGTAGCTGCGTTGCAAGAGACCGGTTGGGCGGTGACGGAGAGCGAGGACTTGCGCCTCATGATCGTGGTCCTGTCCTTGGCGGGCGTTTGACACGGGTACTCGTCGGCCTACACATCGACTGGGGACCGCCAGGGCCGCTTGCAGTCCTTCGATGGCGCGTCGGAGCTGATGGACGTGTGCCACGAGACCGAGCAGCAGGAAATTATCGCCTTGGGACTTCGCTTGCCATGTCGGTCAGGATCGCTGCTGTGGCCGCTACGTCGCACAAGCCTCCGTCGACGACTTCGTGCGCACCCCTACAATGGTGGGCCGCTTTGGTGTGACGACGCCCACAACGGCAGCGGGCTCTCAATTCCTGCCATGGCTGGAGGAGTCTCCCCGGCCGCTATGTGCTGCGGACACGTCCTTCCAGATCGGCTCCAGATGTACGTGGATGCTTCCCTGGGCCCGTCGTGACGATCAGGGTCAGGCACAACTGATATGAACTTGACTTGTGCGTGGCTTCCCCCTTCGTGGTGCAGCACATCGAGAGCCTCCGGGCAGCCGCGCTGAGCATGAGCGACAACTTCGCGAAACTGTTCCGCCTCAATCCTCCTCGGGGTCGGCTCGGAAATGCTTGGCACCGTTGCTGGTCTGCTGGAGATGCTACGACCCAAGAGGCCTCCAGGAGGTCATCCACGAAGGCCCGCAGAGACCCAGATCAATGATTTTCCTTAGGATTTTAAGGATGCCATCCGACGGCCCAAGACGGTCTAAGAGGCCCAAAATATCGGGCCAAGTTCGCCCAATAAGGCTCCAAGACGACCCCATAGCGGCCCAAGAGACCCCCGAGAGGGCCCAAGAGGGCCCCAAGACAGCCAAAGAGGCCTCCAAGACGCCCAAAATGGCCTCCAAGACAACCATGAAGCACCACAAGAGGGCTCCAAGTCAGTTGAGAAAGGCTCCCAAGACGGCTCCCGACGGCGTCAGACAGGCCAGGAACGCCCTGAGACGGCCAAAGAGGTCCCCAAGATGGCCCCAACCAAGGACGGTCCAAGAAGCCCCCAAGATGCTTCCAAGACGGCCCAAGATGCACCCCAGACGGCCCAATATGGCCTCAAGATGACCGAAGACGGCCCAAGAGGCTCCCAAGAGGCCTCCAAAACGACCCAAGAGGCCTCCAGGAGGTCCTCCAGGAAGGCCCGCAAAGACCCAGATCAATGATTTCCCTTCGGCTTTTGAAGGAGGCCTTCCGACGGCCCAAGACGGTCCAAGAGGCCCCAAATATCGGGCCAAGTTCGCCCAATAAGCCTCCAAGATGGCCCCGTACGGCCCAAAAGACCCCAGAAGGCCTCCGAGAAGACATACAGGAAGGCCCGAAGGAGCCAAAATCATAGATTTCCATTCGGTGTTTGCAGGTTGTTGGCTTTGGCTCCCTGTCGGCCTTACGACGGCCCACGACGGCCTCCAAGACTGCCCAAGAAGCCTCCAAGATGGCCCCATGACGGCCCAAGAGACCACCAAAACGGCCACAATAGGACCCAAAGGTGGCCCAGGAGGCCTCCAAGACGCCCAAGATGGCCTCCAAGGCTGCCAAGATGGTCCAATAGAGCCCAAGATGGCCGCAAGATGTCTCCGAGACGGTCCAAGATGCACCCAAGACGACCTCAAGACAGCCCAAGATGCCGCCAAGAGGCGTCCAAGAGGTCCTCAAGGACGGCTGGGAGAAGCCCAAATCAGCAATGTCCTTATATCGGGGAGACGTACGACTCGGGTACGGGGGCCCCAGGTTGGCCTGACGGGGGCCGTCATAAACATGACGAGACCCAATCTGAGATTTGACGCGGGCTCCCCCTGCAGACATCCCACGAAAACGGGACCGTCAAACTCCAGAACGCGCTCGGTAAACAGAAATCGGCAAACCCGAGTTCTGGCGTACTCGAGTCTTACGCTTCCCCGATTATGCCGTGAAGATTTGGGTATTTTCTGCGTTCGGCCTACGACGTGCTTCTCTCAGGCCGAGCCGCGCGGCGGGCTCCCCGCAGGGCGCGACCTGCGCGAGCGGGCAGTGCGCCGCTGGGCAGCCGCAGCCTGGGGCCTGGGCACGGCGCGCGGACGCCGTCGCCGCCGCCCTGCGTCCGAAATCAGGGCGTTGCAGTAAGTCGGGCGTGTCCCCCTACAGCGGGATGTTGGGCGATTTGTTCTTTTACCAAAAGATCCGCCGACCCTGTCGGCGTGTGCGAGGAGCTTGGCTGTTCGAGTCGTCGTCTCCGTCGGTCGTCGCCTCCGTCGTCTTCTTTCCCTGCAGCTTCCTTCTCAAGCTCGTGAGCGAGAGAAAAATCTAGCAGTGTCGTAATCGAGTCGAAGGGAAGCCCCTTCCTTGATCCCTTCCCCAGAGGGGGGGGGGTCCCAGGGGGGGTCCCGGGGGGGGTCCCAGTGGTGGGGGGGCAGATTCGTTTTTCCTCGGGCGGCCTAGAAACCTCAAAAACACTCCAAATGAGGTCCGAATGCCCAAGATGGCCCCCGAGACGGCCCAAGAGGGCCCCAGGTCGCCCAAAGATCGGCCGAAAACGCCCAAGATAGCCCCAAGACCGTCCAAGAAGCCTCCAAGACGTCCCAGGCCCCCTCCAAGAGACCCCCAGGAAGCCCCAAGAGGCCCCCACGAGGTTTCCAAGCGGCCCCTAAGAGCTTCCCAAGAGGCCCACAAACTACCCCCAAGAGGCGCCCAAGAGCGCTCATCGTCGTCGTCGTCGTCGTCGTCGTCGTCGTCGTCGTCGTCGTCGTCGTCGTCGTCGCCATTCAGGGTCGGCGGCACCGGTCGTAAGGCCTTCGCAATCAAAACATACTCCCAGAATGTTGTAAAAAGGGTCAACAAATAGTCCGCAGACTATGTCTTGACTAGTTTTGACGATTCCTCCTGGAGAGGAGCATGCCCGACTTAAGTGACTTAAGCGTTGCATTCGTTGTTACGCTGGCGTGCTACAGAGGTTGTTGTTGGCACTCCCGCGCCGGCCTGCATGGTCTGATCGGCCTTCCGACGGCCTCAGGGGCTTCCGAGATCGCCACAAGATCATCCAGGAGGCTTCCAAGACGGCCCAAGAGACCCCCAAGGTGGACCAAGAGGCACCCAAGACGGCCCCAAGAAAGCCCAAGACTGCCCCGGAGACTTCCAAGAGGGCCCTGAGAGGCCCCAAGTCGGCCCAGGCCAGCAACGCCCTAAGACGGCCAACGAAGGCCCAAGTGGCCCCCAAGACGCAAAAGAAGGCCCCAAAGAGGCATCGTAGAGGCGCCCAGGAGGCCTCAAGAGTGCCCCAAGAGGCTCCCGAGAGGTCTCTTCTCCTCCTCCTCCTCCTCCTCCTCCTCCTCCTCCCGTTTCCTCCTTTTTCCGTATTCTCCTCTTCCTCCCAGGCGTGTTCCCCGAATGGTTTCCACCGACAGCTTGGCCGAGCGCTGACCACAACGTTCGGCCACATAGACCCTTCCAAATACCGGGGACGGCGGTGATTCGCCTCAGGCGTCCACGATACATGCTCATGCAAATCTGTGGTCCTCGACCATCGATGCGCCGTCCCTTGTTGGCTTGCCTCGGCCCAACCCGCCGGCCACCCGAAGATGCCTCCAAGATTTGGTTTGCTCCCATCGTACTCAAGGACCACATCCCAGAAATAATTTCGAGCACCTGGAAAAGTGTCGAACGAGTGTCGAAACAGTGTCGGACGAGTGTCTCCCAGGGCCCGACACGTGAAACCCTCGAGTTTCGAATCGTTTTTCTGGTGCTCGAAATTCTTCCTGGTGGTCAAGGCTGAAGCAGGTTGGAACATCATAATCCAAGATGGCCTCCACCATGGCCTCCAAGACGACGAGCCACAGCCACTCAATCATTCGGCCGTCCGCGGGCGGTCTCTCCGCTCGCGCCGGGCCTCTGGGCGGCGCCCGCGGGCGCCGCCCCACCCGCCCCGCGCGCCAGGAGGGGGCCTTCGGGGAGAAACTCGCGGCCAGCGGAGGGAAGAGGCCATCCGCGGGCGGCTGAACGTTTGAGTTCGTGGGGTTCGGGAGGTTCTGCGGGAGGGATGCGGCGCCTACGAGGCCGAGCAGGAGGCCGAGCAGGAGGAGGAGTAGGAGGAGGAGGAGGAGGAACGCTGTTTCTTGGAGGACGCTTCGAGGAGCGGCGTCGCGCGGCCTGCTCGAACACCTCGATGTTCTTCTGGTGCTGCTTGATGTGCCTCCGCTGGATCGTGTTCAGAAACGACAGCTTGAGGATACGCCGGTGCATGGCCTCAGGGATGGCATCGGGTGGTCCAGTGTCTATCAGTCTTGAGGCACGGAGACTGCCCTTGCAGCTTGCCTTCCTCGCCCTTCTCCTCCTCATCCTCCTCGACCTGATGCGCCCCTCCTCCTTCACCTCTTCTCCTGACCCCTCCCCAGGTGGCAGTCCTGTGGACGCTACGCCGTCTCAGCCCATAGGTGCCGACGGACGCCTCAGAAGAATCATCAGATGATCTCCGCCCTGATTTGTTCTGGTGCTTCATGACGAAATTTCCCTACCACTCGCCTGTGAGTGACCTCCAGGAAACGCTCGGTGTGGGCTGTGGGCTCGCTCAGCACCCGAAAGGGCCTCGACGGGGCCGTGACCCTCATCGCCATGCAAGCAAACATTTTGCCAGCTCGATGCGACTGCCCATGAACTGCATGGCGGATTGTTTGCTCAAACTTATGATGGCGCTGGGCCCGAACTTGTAGAGTTGGGCCATCCTGCGATCCAGCGTGTTATGGCGTGAGGCCTGCGTTTGTGTGGACCGTCCTGCGAGCAAGCCGCGAGTATTCTTCGAAACATTGGAGTGGGAACGCCCAAATTAGGAATGTGTGGGCGCTCCCGTCTGCTGCCAATGCGGCTGCTGGGGCTGCTGCTGCTATTGCTGGTGCTGCAGTTGCAGATGCAGCTGATGCTACCACTGCTGGAGCTACTGTGCCACCTCCTCACGCACATCCCTTTTCTCCATCAATCCAGTATCCTCTCCCTTCTCCGCTTCCTCCTTTTATCTTCCTACTCCTCCATCCGTAGTCATGTTGGCTCAAGTCCGTAGCGGGAAGCTCAGGACTGACACATTCTGGCGGGGGGAGTTCGCGGCCTCACACTTCATCGAATATTCGTTCTTCCCTTTTACAAGTCATAGCCAAGGTCACGCCTGGACAGCTGTACCGGTCACGGCAGGCTCATGGTGCCACCTGCCATGGGCGGAACCATGGCACTGTAAGCACGGCGGGTCGACGTCAACAGGCAACGAGTGGTGGAACAGGGCGGACTTGGATCATTGCACTCCGTGCCTGCAAGCCACAGGAACCGCTTTCGGAGGTAAGCGTGAGGTCCCCTTCAGCCCATCCAGGAGCGTCCTGCAGCCAAGACAGTCCGCGGGAGGCGGGGGGGGGGAGAGAAGAGGTGGCAGAAATTAAGGAGTTGCGTGCAGAGCTGGCGAGGCCCAAGGTTCAGCAGAGCCAGCGAGGGGCTCCTACCGGCGAAGGCATGGAATTAGACGAACACGCCGAAAGGACCCCAGACTCGGATGTCAAACGGGAGATGCCTGAAGTGGCCTCGCACTGGTCAAAGCTGAACGGGGCAAGCGACTGCCAAGAGTTCCAGGAGGTAGGAGAGAAGTTACGGAGCCGCTTGGCTGAACTTCGTAAGCGTCTCATCGCGGGCAAGGGTCTTGATGCCAGGCTCAAGGATACGTCGCTCCAGCATGTCAAGCTGGAGGAGCGGAAGGAGAAACAGTCGCAGCTCGTGGACCCCTTGCGCGCCAAGGTCCCGAGGCAGCGGCGAAGGAGGCAGGCTCCCAGCTCGAGAGGGGTTACCAGAGCTGGAGGAGCAGGAGTAGGAGCGGCGCCAGCTGTGATACACGAACAACACGCATGCACACCCGTTGGGGGGGTGGAGGCCACGGGTGGCGTTGTCGGATGGGGGTCCCTGTTCGAACGGCCCCCCCCCCCCCCAGGGACCGACAACCCGCGCCCATGCCCACAGCCCAGTCCTCCCCCCCCGACCCTCCCATGCGTATGGGTTGGTGTTGTTCGTTCGTGAAGCTGGTGGCGCAGGTGCCGCAACTGGTATTAGGTCGGGAAGGTCCCCCTACAGGCGGATTGTGGGCGAACATTAAGAACTACCCCAATAATGCTCAACCATAGTAAACCAATGATCAAAAGATCTCCCAAAACTATCTTTTGACTATTTTTGAATACCCCTCCTTTCGAGGGACAGGCCCGACTTAAAACTGACACCAGGCAGCACAGCGAAGCCGTCCATCGCGCAGGTGCTGCCAGTCGTCAGCGACGCTTTGACGGTGGAGAGCTGCTGTCCACGCTCGGCGGCTCCGAGGAGCCTGCGGCGCGGCCCCGCGGGCGCCTCGCCGAGGTGCGCGACGCCGAGGCGGCGCGCCGCGGCGAGACGGAGCGCGGGGCCGCGGAGGCAGCAGCTGCGGCAGCCCAGTCTTACGTCGGGCGTGTCCTCCTACAAGCTTTTTCTTTACGACATCAAACAGCATCAAAACATGCTCAAGCACACTCCGACCAAAAAGCAAAACATCGTCCCCAGACTACTGTTTGACTGCTTTTGAATATTCCCCCTGTAGTGGGACACGCCCGACTTGAGCCCGGGCTCAGGCCTCGGCAGCCGCGGCAGGAGGAGCCGCCGCGGGCGGCGGGCCGAGCCAGGTAGCCGCAGCAGCTGCGCCAAGCTCGCCAGGAAGGGCCCATATCATCAGATGATGCCGGAGTGTGCAACACTTTCTCGCGGTTAGTCTTATGTTGCTCCCACCGTACTTCAGGACCACATCTCAGAAATAATTGCGAGCACCCGGGAAAGTGTCGAAAGAACGTCGAAACAGTGTCGAAAAGTGTCGGACGAGCGTCTCCCAGGGCCCGACACGTGGACACCATGGATTTTCGGTACTTTCCTGGTGCTCGAAATTCTTTCTGGTGGTCAAGGCTAAAGTAGGTTGGAGCATCGTAATTCAGGTTAGTCGATGCGGCAGTCCCAGAAGATAACGTCGAGATGCGTGAGACGATCAAGCGTGTCGGAGCCAATCTTGGTACGTTCGTCAAGAAGCCGAGGACGACCGACCCTGCGGCCGAAGCCGTGGCTGAAGATTCCATGTGTGTTGGGCTGTTTTTTGGATGGTGCCGGTGCCCATGGCGAATGCAGCGATGGTCACGCTACCATCAAATCGACCTCGCACGGCCCCTCGGCTGATCTTATCAAAGCTGATAACCCCGCATTGGGGGAGGGGGTGCAAATGATGTGTTGTCAAGAACAACAGGTCGCTTCGCGATGAGCTGGGACCTCAGAGCAGAATGCAGAATGAAGGCAGCAGGATATCACGGAGTCTGGTCGGCTACGTCCGAAACGGGGAGTGTCAATGGAAAGTGATAGAGCGGGGGAGTTGCGGTGAATTTCCAACGCCGATCCAAGTCACATGTCCTCCCCTGGGAAATCCTGCTAAGGTATTTCACGCTAGAGCAGTTGCGGGTCACATACACACAGAGGGTGCAGGCCATCGGATACGACTGGGCGGTTGGAAGAGACTTCAACATGGCTCCTGTGATGATTCAGTCTTGGGTGGCAGCGCTTGACGGCATTGTGTCTCTCGGAACCCACTTGCACGCAGTCCCTGCCAGGTACCGTTCTGGACTATTTCGTCGTCCGCCCGAACGTTGCCATCAAGACGGCCCCACCATTCGTGAAAACGCCGGCTCACATCTCCTGCACTTGGCCAGTTGCGTCGAAGGCGCTCGGGCCAGGCGCAGAGACGTGGGCGAGAGTGGCGAAACAACCCAAGTCGACCCCAGTCCTGGGGCCCACGGGTTGTTGCGCCAGGCACCGCAAGCAGTGGACCAGTTTACACGCGAAGGTCACCGACGCCAATTTGGAGTCCCGAGACGGTGCGGTGATATACCGTGCGGTGACCTCGAGATCCCCCAAGACCTCACCGCACGGTCCGTCACCGCACGGTTTTGGGAGCCTGGGGTCCCCTGTCGCCCGAGACATTCTCGGAGAGGGACTCGAATCCCAAAACCGTGCGGTGACCCCGAATCCCCACCGGCTCACGACACGGTGTGGTCACCACACCGTTTGGGGGCGTGAGCTTGCGGATGGGGCCTGTGGCGCGTGGGCCCAGATGCGGGCCACCCGCGGGTGCGCAACTCCTTCTGTGTGACGGCTGGCAGTGGTAGCTGGGCTGCTCTGCCCGGCACCCGCCTTCCAGGCTTACGCAAGGCTGCCGCCGGGTTCCCTGCAAGAGCTGCTGTGGGATGTTGTAGGTTGGTTCACCCGCGCTCGCTACAATCTATCCGACGAGGCTGTCGGCGCGATCTCGGCCGTGTTCGATAGCTGCGAGAATGTCTGCGCCTGGCCGACGGGCAGGCCGGTGAGCCGCCCCGTCAAGCCAGGCAATTCTGACGGAGGCCACCGCCTCATCGCACTGCTCGACACGATGCTCCGAGTCTTGGGCAGGCTGAGACGGCTGCTCAGACGAGCGGGAGCGAGCTAGTCGGACGGAGGAAATCTGGGGGGCGGGGAACCGGAGGAGTGCCAGCGACGAAGCCAAAGGTCACCACCAGGTAACGACGCTGCTTGACATGGTTGAGTGCTATGAGATGATGTAGTTGCCGATTTTGTTCCGTATCTTCCGCGAAGTGGGGTTCCCCACGTGGCCAAGGAGCATAGAGGCTCTCGGCTCCCTATCAGAGCCCTGAATGAGCTATCACGGTATCTCTGGCAGGATGCTCGGCGGCGTCTGCGGTCACGTGTTTTCTGGTTCAGCCGATCGAGCGCACGATCGAACGGTTTCCGAGCGTGAAGGCGAGTGCCTTGATGGATGATGTTTCTCTGCAAAGGCAAGGCGAGGATCCGAGCCAAGTCTCTAGGGTGCCGTCCGCAACCGAGAAGCCTTGCGTTTGCAGGAAGGTCGGACCAGTCGGATCGCTGCTGCAGGCACACACATCAGGATACATTGCTAAGAGCGTTGCAGCCTCCACGCACATGGAGATTCCTCCTCCTCCTCCTCCTCTTCCTCCTCCTCTTCCTCCTCTTCTTCCTCCTCCTCCTCCTCCTCCTCCAAGCAGGCGCGCATTTTTTCGTCGCAAGCAACATCTGCGTAATCTGGGGCGCGACTTTACGATGGGAAGGTCTGCAGGCCCATATGGAGGCTAAGCGCAGACACGTTTTGCAAAGTAAGAACCGCCGACTGCTGGCTCTCAAGCGGTCGGCAGGAGGTCGCCAGGTCT